GGGGGGGGGGGGGGGGGGGGGGAAGGGTGTGGTTTCAAATTGCCTTACAAAACGTTTCCAAAGCGTCAGGATAGAAGAAGAGAAAGCAGTAGTATCTTTTCCGAGGTTTCACAATAAAGTGAGGGTAGAGTGAATCCCTGGCCCACTTGCCCTCCGCTTAGCCCTGGGGCACGAGGTCCTGAACTTCATCATGCCTTTAGTGCGGTTTCTTGTCCATGGATAGAATTTCAGGGGTTCTGCGAACTTGGATGGGGAAAATTTACATTTTTATTTTCAATAACCTGTAACTGAAACTTAACATTTCCTAATATTAGAAATGCAGGCAACCAACCACAGGCGTATTAACTATGCCTGTGACTTCCATGAATTAATAAAAAGGCAGATATATTGCTATGTTGGAAAGTTATTTTTCACAATATTTGGATAAGTTTATTTTAATGTAATTGGCTTTCTTGGTAATATTGTATATTAAAAACATTCTTTTGAAAAGGGGTCCACAGGTTTCATCAGACTGAGAAAGGGGTCCAAGGGCCACACGAAATATTTACAAATCCTTGTGAGGAAAGGAAAGGACCTCTTCAAACCCATGTTCTTCCAGAACTATCTAGGATACTGCCTATGCTACATTTCAAAGAGCTGTTTGCAAAGTTGTGAACACCCTGTTCCCTTTACTTGGTAACTTTGGGCTCCGTGAGCCAGAATCGTTACTTTTCTTGGAGGGCTCACAATGCAATAATTGAAAAATTGCTGGAAAAAGCTTCTATTGGTGTGTAAAATACAACCTATTTGTAATTCTTTTTAAATCTCGCAGTGTCCAATTAGAGGCTATTCTATTGAGAGCCTCTGAACCTCAGGCCTGTTGCATTTGGAAAACTATAGAGAAGCATTTTATTTATTTCGATAATTATCTCACATGGCATTCAACTTCCCGTTAATGTATATCCCATTTGTTCTGTGAAACAGCTCTCAAAACTGCTTGCCTGGAGGTGAGATGATCAAGTCACAGTCTTAGACTCGATGAATCTGTCCTTATAAATGATCCGCACCGACTTTTACTGCTCCTTTTCCCCCACCCCCACCCCCACTCCCCTCCTTCTCCATATGCCCCTCACTTCCCCTCTCCTCTCCTCTCCCCTTCTCCCCCAGAATGCCTCTGACCTGTACCGGCTGGGGGTAACCTCTGCTCATGGGTAGTTTTGTCTCTGCTGGGGCCATACACAATCGAGGCCTGTGAAAAGGAGGGTTAGTCTGCAGGAGGCCGGGACAAGCTGGGCTATTCGGGATCTGTGTCCATTAAAGCCTTCTTGCTCTCCTTAACTCATTCCCCCTCCATTCAAGCCAGCCTGAGGGTCAGGCTTTAGCCAGCCCTAAAACCTGTAGGGTACAGATTCTCTGAATTGTTGGGAAAGAATTAAGGCATCAGCCAGGGACAGCTAATATTTCTTGCCTCATTTTATTGCTGAACAGCGGGACTGTAAAGTCTTGAACACTGGAGCACTATGGTCCCCTTTCATGTAGCCGAGATGATGGGATAAAAATGTGTTTGGTGAAGCAATTCAGATTACCACCGGGTCACATCCTCGCTGGCTCCCAGCACGGCCTGCAAACAGCATCGCCGAGACAAGAAGCAATGGCTGTGCAATTCAGCTCATGCAGAACAGTGTTTCTAGCGTGGAAATGAGGCTAATTGTGGAGCTTGCCAATGAGAATGTTTTGTTTTTAATAGCTCAGGCTGTAGCTCAAAATACGAGTTGAGATGGTGGACTCAGAACACAGTCCTAAGAACTGTGAGTTCTGACAGCTTCCTCCTAAAATGATCGGGGTCCTGGGAGTGTCATACATACTATTCTTACCAGGAGCACTGGGGTCTTGGACTTGCCGACTGGGACAGGAAGGGCTCTCTCCAGAGAGGTGAAGGGTTGTTTGGGGGGCCCTTAGTCTTCCAGGTCTCTCTGCCGCATACCCTGGGTTCCTTACACTCAGAAAACCCCAAGGAAGAAGTGAAGAACCTCAAACATTAGGAAGCCCCAAGCCTGGACAGTTCTGAGAAGCAAGCTCATTTGCTTTCCTCTGAACCGTTCCCCAAATAAACACCCCATGAAATGTTTCTGAGCAACGTCTCATGATATTGTTCAGGTAACTTGGGGTAGAGTCAGTTTTCGGCTCTCGTTAGCTCTGCCACCAGCCCCATTGCCTCTTCGGAACCCCAGCAGCTTCCTGTTTACACGAGAAGGCTGAGCCCTGGGCTCTGTTTCAGCTCCAACACTGTATACCTGGGTCTGTGGCCTCATGTCAACCCATTCTTGGAAGTGAGAGAGTCAGTGTGACCCTTTGGAGTCAATTGGGACTAGGTTTGTGTGCCTGTCTTCAGCACTACCTAGCTGTATGGGGACAAGAGCAAGATACTCTGAGGATCATTAGTAAGGGGTTAGCATGAGATTGTACTAAATAGCATTGATCCTTGTTACTACTCTTTTATTTCTTGTGTGTTCAAAAGAGATTGTAGCCTATTTGAAGTGGACCCAGACTCTGGGAGATTTGGTGAGAGGTTCAGCCCAGCCTTGCTCTGCAGAGGAAATGCATTTCTTAGTGCACAGTGCCAAGAGTTAAAAAGAAAAAGAAAGGAAGGAGAATGTTTCCATGATTAGGAAGTCATAGACCTCTACCGGCAGTATCTGTGGGTCCCTGTCCAGAGGTTGGGGGGGGAAGATGACTGACAGCCCTTCATCTAGGCTTCCAAAGCTCTTGGCCCTCAAAGACAAAAGAGATGTGAGCGAGTGCCTGTTCCCATTTGGGGTATGAGCTGTGAAAAAGCAGCTGAAGGGTTTGCAGGGGCGCTGGAGACAAGAATCCCAGGGCCTCCCCAGGCCGCCGGGCCCGAGCGTAATAAATCTGCGAAATAACAAGCACAAAGGACTTTATAATCAATGACAGATTTTATTTTTGCTCTGGCAAAATCCATCCGTGGAGCTAACATTTTATAGGGAAATAACTACCCACTTTGTGACTCCTTCTCGGCCCATATTCTCTTTCTTAAAGTCGGGAAAAGCTCGGAGAATCAAAGTCAGCTCCTCCGAGAACTGAGGCAGGAGAAAGCATGACTTCCCCTGGGCGGGAACCCAACCCTCCTGTTACTTCCTAGGGTGGCTCGGGCCATTCATTTCTGTTTTGCTAAAATACCCATGACATGTGAATAAACCAGGATTACAGAACATTGTCTCGGTCAGTAATCTGAGCCGGCATGGGCTCTGGTTTGATGAAATATGGTGCTCTCTGAGCAAACATGGGAATTGGTATTACTTCTCGTTAAAGCTGAACAGTGGGACTATTTAGAACTGACGCATGAATGCTGCACTGTGGGGAGTGACAATTTGAAGGGAGCCGATTTGGGGGAGGGGGCCATGGTGTGTGTGAGTTGGCCAGAGCAAGGCAGTTAGGAGACGGCTGCGGGGGAGGCAGCCAAAGAGACACTGGGGAATTAGGACCCCCTTTGGGGCTGCCTGCGCTCCTGACAACCCCAAAATAATCCTTCTTAGAACCTTTGCAGGAGGGACAGAGCCTTACATCCTTGTCCTGGCATTTGAGCCCTTCTGGTCTGGCCTGACTGCCCCCTCTGTCTTGGTGGACATCTCTCTAGTCTCTTTCCACCAGTTCTCTCGTGCCCCGGATTCAGAAGGACCCGCAGTCTCTCTATACAACTGCTAATCGCCTCTGGAGTGGCGCTGTGCCGACCACCCAGCACCCCTTCCACGACCTGGGTGCCCGTTCCCCTGGCTGCCAG